AACAAAACAGACAGAAAAGAGTCTATTCTGACCACTAAAGAAGCTGCACTGCTTTAGTGGCATTCTGTTCGAACAAATCCTCTCCTTCGGGGTCTGGCGACTGCCGTGGACGAGCTGAACTGAAATCGATGTGAGACAACTTTTCTGGTAACGAGCCGCTGCAGACTGCCGTCGCAAAGCGGCGAGAATGGATGGACTGGGTAGGTAACACGCGCGATGAAATGTCCATACAGCTTGCAATTCGCGTAACGAGTGTTGCTGAAACTTTGGTGTCGACGAAACGTGCGACAGACCAGCGGAATCAATACCAACTTCAACACCTATGCTCCATGAAGGTGCACGTCTGCGCCAGAACAATTTAGTAGGCAGCACAACATCACCTAAAGCACGGCACAGGAACTACTAGCTTGAGGGCAGCTCTTCGGCGCGACGCACACCTGTCCTCCGTGAAAGTGCACGTCTACGCCGGAACAATTTGGGAAGCAGCACAGTATCATTTAGCACGGCACGGGAGCTACAAGCGGCAAGGCATCTCTCCGGTGCACCGCACAACCAAAGTGAGCATTCGGGCATTTAAACAAAGCGACACCACGATTGCACACTGCCAAGCACGACTCATGCAATCTCCGTCGCTAAACTGTGTATCCAAATATATTGCACACGCTTTACTGCAGATCTCGAAGGTTCCGATGGTCAACGAGAGCACAGAAACGTCGCCTTAAATTTTATCCTAGCGGTCGCCGAATCAATCCGAGGTGCGAGCAACGTAGGGCAGATTGTCTCTTCCGTGGCAATATTGCCATCGGTCACCAGCGAAATGCACACTGTTCCTCCGTATTTTCTCCTTGTACCTACGTCAGACATCACGCTGAACTCTGAAGTCGCTGTCGACCGGCCTCATAAGACGGCTTCTGCGTCTGAAATTGACTCGCCGAGACGAACGAGAACCAACAAAGCACCCGACAAGCTCCGGCCCAGCTGGGGCCAGCCGCTGCATGGACGCTGCCATCTTTCCTGTGACGTCACGCATTTGGTTCGGTCATGTGACGAGTGGTCAACTTTGCGTACAATGGCAGCCGCCTAATGGGGGTCACTTTCGAGTGCAGACCGGAACCCCGGTTTATCGCTGTAAGCCCCTCTACCTCTTTGGTTTAAACAAACTGGTCACGCTCAAGACAACGCGCTACGCGTAGCAGAGCGTACTTCAAGTAACTAGAGCTTAAACTTTGAGCAAAAAAGAAAAAAAAATGAAGTATATAATTCGATTTACTTATCAAACCGTCATATGAAAAATAGACCACATTGAAAAAACATTGCATTATGGAACCTGACTGGTCATGGGGACGATAGGCTTGGTTTCGGTTTCAATCGCCCCGTTGACGAAGTTGCGCATCTCAGCACTGCATTAAAATTAAGTCAGCGCTTGCTTGAATTGCTACCATTCATCATCGTAGAGCATACCGAAAATTAAAACGAAAAACGTCACTAAACTTGTACTGAAACTAGGAACGCTTATGGTAGAGGAGATTGCTGTCCCCAATATTGAAGTATGTCGCCGTACCGACCAAAGATACGACCAATAATAATGTAATAGTTTAGCTTCAACGACCGGCAAAGTGTGACTCGGTCCTTGACAAAGCTAAAAAAAAGAGGATGTCTTGCGAAGACCTCGGTTTTTAGAAACAATCACCCATTTATTTAAATCGGCATTTGGCCCCAACCTTGAAAAAGCTGCTTTGTATGACGCTATCAATGAAGTGTGAGCACCAGTGGCGTCACGTGTGGGTCCGAAATAGCAAAACCCTTGCAAGAAAAGCTGATAGCACCCCGGTCGTTGCGATTTGTGTGAAACTGATTTTGGAAAGATCTGTGAACTAAATGTTTTTTTTTTTTTTTATTTTACTTTACTTGTTTTTTTTTGTTTTTTTTAGCTACGGTTGAAAGTCTTGCTACAATGACGGTAGAAAGTCGAAACACTTTTTCTGAAGAGTCAGAGTGATGCTCATACAAGCTTGTTTCACTTAAACGTGCAATCTTCAAGGTCTAAGGGAGATTATCTAATTATATTTTTTTACTCTATTGAAACTTCGTTTACTGTAGTCATGTTAACTGAAATACGGTACGGAAATGATGATGACGTTTTTGCTCTTTCATATTATGGTCATTTCTTTTTAAATCGTAAATACAGTCGCGGTGGTGGTGTGTTATTACTACCAATATTTATGTCTTTGAGGTGCTCGGTGATCACTCTATCGTGAAACGAGACTACTAAATATTTTATGTTAAGAGAAACAGTAATATTTACATTGTTCTCTATCCACCACCCAGTGGAAATGTTTCTATGTTTTCTAATTACCTGAATAATCTATTTTGCCCTGCTACGAACACCGATTCAAGTTACAGCTTGGTGGCAAAGTTGATATAAACATTTTGGAAGACTCTCGACTCAAAAGCAAACCTGTCACTTTATCGACATCAAACAATATCTGTATTGTTTTTACACCGCCTCCCTCCCCCCTAACACACGTTCATACAAACACGACACGTGTTCGACGTCCACATTGATTGATCTTTTTATAACTAACAATGATGAAAGTGATATAAACACTGGGGTTTTGAATTACGGTATAAGGGGCTACCTTCCCATATTCATTAATATTAACGCTAATGTGCCACGTAATAAATTTATAAATCCCCAGAAAATGAATCCGAGAAATAAACCATAGAAGTTAATAAGTTTAGAGACAAAATCAGTGTGATCGATTGGAGTCAATGTGTTGAAGGTCACACGTGTTGATGAATACTATAATATGTTTTTAAACTTATTCAAAGATGTTTATTGTAGGTCGTTTCCGTACAAAGACGTATAGCCTAGTAAAAAGGCAAGGAATCCATGCGTGAATGGGCAACATTTAGAACATATTAAAAAGAAGAACTTTCTTTACAATCAGTTTATCAAAACACTAGACGAAGAGAATCTGCGTAATTTTAAATAAGTTAAGAACTCATGTCAACACTCAGTTAAGACGAGCCAAACATCTGTATTATACCTCGTTATTTGACGTGTCTCGTTTGAGACACACTGAAATAGTATGGAAACGATTAAATTCTTTACTGCGCAACAAGAATATTTCAAATATACTGATTGTAGAAAAAGCTTAACGATTATTTTGTGAGAGTTGGGTACAAACAGTGCAAATACTTTCACTAGCGAAAAGTTTTTTTTTTTGTATCCTACGGATAGAGCCGAAGTGCTCTCTGTGGTTATGATAATAAAAACATTGTTATAGTCGTGACTGCGAGGAATTCCTAGTGGAACCAATAAAATGTATAATTGATATTTTACTGCCTTGCATACCGCATTTGTACAACATAATTTTATCATCCGGTGTGTTCCTCGAAAGAATGCAGCTTTCTAACATATCTGTTTTATTTATAGGCGGTGATAAAACTATCTGTGTAATTGCTGCCCCATTTCTGTTCTTCCGAGCCTTTTAAAAATATTGTATTTCCTAGTTCTCACCTTTTTTGAAAAATATATTTCGTTGACTGAGTCTCAATATGGATTCAGAATGCATCGACCGACAGAACCCGGTTTATTGGTACTGAAAGAGATTATACTAGAAATAAATGAGAGTTATAACTGTTAATTTTAAATATATATATATATATATAGATATCAGCAAATCTTTTTCTGAAATAAATAATAAAATTCTTTTAAATAAATTATATGGCTATGGTATTCGAGGTATCGTAATATTACTTATCAGATCCTCTTTACAACACCGGTCCCAGTATGTTCAGGGCTCAAATCCACCATGCAGCGAATTTTTTTCGTGTGTTGCACAATAAAATATTTTGCTTCGTTGTTCTTCATATGCGTTAATGATATTTAAAAAGAAAACTGAACCTTCGAATAAATGTATTATGTACGCTGATGAAACGAGCATATTTTTACATATACTATGGCGGATTTACTGATATTAAAGCGAATAATTTTTTGTATAGATTAAAAATCTGGACAGATAGTAAATCACTGGTTATAAACAGGGCAACAACAAAGGCAGATTTATTCCAGTGTTCTGTGCATCGATTTATTTTGACTTCAAGTTTAGTTTTGGGTCCATTAGAACAGAGTGTGCTCAGAATATTAGGACTCAATGCGTCACGTTTTCTGAATATATGCTTTGGAATGTTTACGTAAACTATGTTTTCAGAGACTTTCCAGAGCTGCGGGAATAATGAATAAGTACAGGCATCTACTTCCAGTTAACATAATAAAAAATCGTTTAGAATTTTTGTTTTTTTATTTCACCTTTTGCTCTTCCCTCTAGTGTAGGGGACGACTACAAAAAGAATCCAAACAAGTTGCAGCTGTTGCGACAAACAAAAGTTGTCAGGGTAATTGATAACGTTCCTCTGGATCACCATGCTCTTCCCCTTTTTTTTAAAATATAAAATCATTAATGTGTCCGAGATGAATACGATAAATTAATTGCAACTTCTGGACGGTTAGTAAAAAAAAAGGATAAATTATTTTAGATCGTACAAAATTAAAAATAAATAAATCAGAACATCCATCGCGTCATTGGCACCCTTGGGGACTCCCCTATTTCAGAACAACTTTGTTTTGGAAGACTAAGGCACAAGCTACCTGCTTTTATAACTAACGAACTTCGCTGCGTGTAATTATTTATCCCCACACGTACATTTATGTGTATATATGTATATCGCGGTTTAAGCACAAATTATGCTTGTTTATTTGTTTATTTGTTATTGCCCAGAAGTAGGTGCAAATGTTTGCATATAGTTATTTTAAATCTCGTCCGCTCTAGCCATGATGGTGCCGTATAAACGCCTCAAGTTGCAACCATGCAGCTTCTTTTTTTTTCAGACATCCTTCTCACAAAGGTACAGTTTTCGGCAAAATAAAAGTGATTTGATTACTAGCGAGTCAAGTAAAGCAGAGTGTATTCATGGGTGAAATCAGAGTGACGAACCTCACAACAGGACCGTAGATTTTGGCGAGGTCCCTGAACATGACGTGGTGATTTCTTCCCAGGAAGGGCAGGAAGCCAATCAGCGGAAAGCCCCTGGGACCCGGGGGAAGGGCCCTCCTCCTCGCGGGTCTACACCGGAGCCAAACCGCCGCGGTGATCGCCACCAAGATGGCGGCCACCGCGACGGCCTGGTACCCCGGCAAACTCCCAGCTGCAGGGCAAGCGATGACAGGGGCATACTGAAACCGAAAGAATCCGATCACCGACGTCGAACTTTTATGGGCCAGTGAAGCCAGTGTTGCTGGCATTACCGAAAAGAGAAACGAAATGCGTTTCTCGTTAATCGCAAATGAAAGGGACGCGATAGCAACCTATGCTACCTCAAAATAAAGGAAACGCGTTACCGTTACGCGTAAATTTTAACGTGCGTTACTGCCATTTGTGTTAATTTCCTTCGACGGAGACACCGTTTTTCGACACTGGGACAAAGGGCGTGTGCGTTGGCAAATTCTCCGAAGTGCGAGTGTTTGGGCGGGTAAAAGAGAGGTAAAATATCGAAGGTACGTGGTACCTTCGATATTTTGCTTCTCTTTTTCCCGCGCAAGTAAGAATGCACGCAACTTGGCGCCTTGAAAAGAAAAAACAAACAAACAAAAAACTGTAATTGTTTTTGAGTGCAGCTCTTAAGCGCCCGTTTCCTGCTTGAGCGGTGTCGCCGTCATTGTCGGCATCGCCGTCGGCGTGACTGCGCGTTGCATTATGGGGCGTTTCTCATAATGACGTCACACGTGACGTCACATGTGACGTCACGAGGGTCATTAGGATCCCGAATGACGTCACCCGTAACCGCGCGTTACATTATTGAACGTTTCCCATACTGACATCACACATGACGTCACGAGGGTCACTAGGGTCACGAGTGACGTCACGGAGGTCACTGGTAAAAGTCACGACGAAGGTCACGACTTTCACAGTGAAGGTCACGACGTTTAGGATGACTTTGCGAGTGAGGAAATGTCATCATTTTCGTTTTTTCCTCGTACAATTGAAGAAGGGAATTCTCTTGTTTGGTTATTTCATCTTCGGATTTTGCTTCATCATTAGAACAGTTATTGTAGTGGGTTTTTTTTGTAGTTCTATGTGTTTTGGTGTTTTTTAATTAAGTGCTTACATGCTTCGGTATTGTGCTTCTTGGCTAGCTACTTGTTTTGCTGTATCGCACCGCCTCTTTCATATTTTTGCCGATTTGTATGCCTTATTTCTTGTATTGTTGTTTTGTTTTTGTATAGGTTCTTGAGTTTGTACCCTGCCCATCCTGCTTGGACCACGTTTGGTCTGCAGTATTTAATAAATAAATAATAAATGACGTCACGTGGGTCAGGAGTGATGTCACGAGGGTCACGAGTGACGTCACGAAGGAGGGAGGGGAGGAGGAAGAGAGGAGAATAAGAAGAGGAGGATATTTTTATTTTATTTATTTTCAAAATACTGCCAATCCCCATTGAGGGATTATAGCAGGTGTGGTACAAATAAAAACAACACACAAAACTTTTGAGGCGCGCGAAAAACAGTAATTTTTAGAAATCGTCACTTCCTTTCATATTAAAACAACAAAACAGAACATAACAGAAAGAACTAACTCATGAACTTGCTAAGAAGGTCTTGTTCAAGAGCTTGAATGAACGCATCCACATTTGTGTAGTTAAAAAAATAGCGGATGAAGGCTGTTCCAATCTCTTACAGCTGAAGGAAAGAAAGAGCACGTAAAAGTATTATTATTGAAAGAGTATTCGGTTTATGTATTGTAGTGTTTATGCCTTGTTGTTCTTGCCTGTGAAAAATTCACATACTTATTCTTGCCTATTTTAAAGGCGTCGTTTAAAAGGAGATACAAAAATTTGAGTCTTCCTAATTTTGCGCGATCAGCGATGGTCACTAGGCTGGATCTTTTCGGCAATTCTCTAGGCGAATCAAAGCGACCATACTTGTGGTGAACAAATCTTATCGTTTTCCTCTGAACACTTTCGTGGATGTTGACTTTGGTTTGTGTGTGAGGAAACCAGGCAATGACTGCATATTCTAATACCGGGCGAACGAGTGTGGTGTATGCGAACAACTTGGTTTCACGACTAGACTATTTTAGCGTTCTTTTTAGAAAAAATAATTTGACGAGCGCTTTACTGGATACGTATTTGACATTCGCATTCTAGTTTAAATTAGACGTTAACACGACACCTAGATATTTGTATTCAGTGACTCTGTGCAAAATTTTACCGTCTAAGCTGTAAGGAAATTCAAGAACATCTTTTTCGTATTGGTCAAGCACAAATAAGCCGTCTTTTCAGTGTTTAAAGCCATCTGCCATTCACTGCACCGGTCTGCTACCTTTTTTAGAGATCTGTTTAATACTGCTTGGTCATCTTGACATGAAATATCGTGATAAATAATGCAGTCATCTGCAAATAACCTTATGTTTGCGTCAGTGCCATCAACCATGTCATTAATGTACAGAAGAAATAAGAGTGGGGCTAGGACAGAGCCCTGTGGAACTCCCGACTCCACTGCAACTGGTTTTGAAGCCTGTCCTTCGTAATAAACAAACTGAAAACGATTTCTTAAATACTCCTGTATCCATTTTATTATCAATCCCTCCCCCATAATGTGTGTAAATTTTTTCACAAGTTTGACGTGCGAAACACAATCGAAGGCCTTTAAAGTCTAAGTAAATTACGTCAATTTCTCTTCTATTGTTTATACCCATCGAAAAGTCATGGAGTGTCTCGATTAGCTGTGAAGTCGCTGACAAACCTCTCCTAAAGCCGTGCTGGTGTGCATTTAGTATATCATGTTTCTCAGTGAATTCTGTCATAAATTTCAAAATTATGTGTTCCATTATCTTGCAGCAAGTACACGTTAGGGATATAGGTGTGTACTTGGAAATTAAGGAGCTATCGCCAGACTTATGAATAGGAATAACTTTTGCGACTTTCCAGCCTGCGGGAACCAAAGAAAGGCTGAAAGACTCGTTAAAAATTAGCATTAAATACTTGCTCATCCATTTACCGTATTTTTTAATAAAACGTGTTAGAAATTTCGTCAGGACCCGTACCCTTCTTTGCATCTAAGTCGAGTAAAAGTTTTAAAACGCCTGCTTCTGTGATTTGTAAGCCACCGAGGTCTTTATCTGCGCAGGTTTTAGACGGTAGAATTAACTCTTCTTTGCCATTATCAGCTGTGAAAACGGACTTAGAAAAACTGCTGATTTCTTCTGCCATTTTTAATGCCTCCGGGGCACTTATGGTGGAAGTTTTAGAGTTTCTGGGAATTATATGGTTCCAGAATTTTTGGGGTGATGTTTCATAAAATTGTGGAGGGCCATATTGTAGTATTTGTGCTTTGCATCTTTAATCTTCAGTTTGAGCAGTCTGGATAGTCCCGATATAGTTGGATTGTGGTTGGTGAGTGGACGCTTTTTGGATGACTTTCTTAGTCTATTTAGCTTACGCTTCAGGTGAATGATTTCACGTGAAATCCATGGGTTGAGCTTCCTTATCATTTTACGTTTACTAGGAATAAACTTAGTGATGCACCGATTAATAATTGACTTGAGCTTTTGCCATAGTTCGTCAATACTGATATCAATTTAATCATAAAGCTCATGAAAATCGTTAAATTCATGAGCAAGATAAGTTTGAATGCTAGCATCGTCGGCTTTGTAGAAATCGAGCACGTATTTGGCGCAGCCATGGGAGATGTCGGAACTACGAACAGGTACCGTGCATACAACAATTTTATGGTCAGATATCCCCTCCACCCCTTCTACCTCAGTTTGAGCCCGAGGAAAGGGGTCACTGAGGAAAACTGCGTCAAGCAAGCTCCGTGACGATCCCTGCACCCTGGTTGGTTCTCTGACGATTTAGGTTAGATTGAACGCAAATACCATGTCCATAATAACATCAGCAGTATCCAGGCCAGGGTGCAGCGAGTCCCAGTTTATTTCGGGCATATTAATATCACCCGTCATGATGATTTTATCGCTTTTAATATTTGCTAGCATGTAGTCATAGAGGTTATGAAGATATTGTAGGTCAGAGTCTGGGGGACGATAAACAACGCCGACATCAATAGAATAATTTTCAAAGGAGACCTTACACCATAAAGATTCCACGTTTTTATATTTACCTCAGGCATAGGCACATAAGAAATACCGCGTTTTAAGATAATTGATACACCACCATTCTTTGTTAATCTATCCTTTCTTAGATTAATGTAGTCTGGTGGCACAATTTCGTTGTCAGATATTAACGGGTGCAGCCACGTTTCAGTTACTGTAGCGATTTCTGGATTGTATTCCAAAAGTATAGACGAGCACATCTACCTTATTAGGAAGACTTCTTGCGTTTAAATTAAGGACTGTAAGATTAGACGGTAAAACACGGTTATCAACTAGACGTGGTCGGTGACATCGTTTTTTGCTATTGGAACTTCGTCATTTTTATCCTCGTCCCATGCGTACAACTGCCCCTTTACGCTGACCTTATCGAAGGTCAAGAACACTTTATCATTTTTATCTCGATTGATTTTAGTGCTTTCCCACAGTTACTTTCGTATCTGTTGCACGGGGCGTGAAAAATCCTCGCTGATAGAAAACGTTGTCCCTTTCAATTTGAAGCAATTTTTCAGCACTCTTGTCTTATCTCTGCAGTCAAGTAGTTTCAGGATGACAGGTTTAATTCTTATGTCCGTCTTTTTTCCCAGACGGTGAATTCTTTCGATGCCTGATATCAGCGTGTTAAGAAGCTTTCCGAAGATTTCGTCTGAAACCACTCTTTCAAGTATTTCACTGTTTTCAGTGTCTTTTTCTTCGATTCCGTAAATTATCAAGTTTGCTCTCCTGCTTCAATTTTCCAAATCGTCTAGCTTTTTAGAAATGGTTTTGATGTTAGCTTCAAGTTCAGTTATTTTTTTTTTGACACTCACTGACGGTAGTTTGGAGCGTACTGAGGCTTTCTAGTTTTTGCTCGATGGCTGAAAGCCTGTCATTTGTTGTGACCTTTTCGTTATATATGTCCTGTATATCTTTAGCAATGGCTTTAAGTTGTTCCGTTATAATCTTCATGCCCGGACCAGGGTTAACCTCAACATCGCCGCTAAGCACAAGTAGCATTTTTAAATACACGATCACATTGCACAACAATAAATAACACGACCGTGCGAACGGCAGCAAGATCAGGCATAC